ATATGCTATGTCTGGCCGAGTGTGAGCAAGGTATATAAGTCTGCCAACCAACCTCTGGTACATTCTTTTATCCATAGTTGGTTCTTCTTTAGCTTCTCCCAATTTATAGTTTGGATCTATTGGAGTAGAAATCGGCTTACACCCAATCTTCCCTGTTTCTGCCAATAAATCAAGCATTTACTTTTGTTGAGATGAAGATCCCTTGTCTAGAATATGCCACCCCAATACCGAGGAAATACTTCAATTTCCCCAGTTCCTTTATTTCAAATTCTTTCATTAGTCTCAGCTTCAATTCATGCTTCTCTTTCTCATCATTTCCAGTCATTATGATGTCGTCCACATAGACTAAAAGAGTAGTCACTCCCTTTACACCCGAATGCTTAATAAAAAGAGTGTGGTCACCTTGGCTTTCTTTGTACCCAAATTCCTTAATGACTTTTGCAAATCTGCCAAACCATGCTTTAGGAGATTGTTTTAACCCATAAAGGTCTTTTTTCAACTTGAACACCTTGTTACCAATGTCCCTTTCAAATCATGGTGGGATGTTCACGTAGGTTTCATCATATAAGTCACCATGGAGGAATGCATTCTTAACATCATATTGTAGCAGTTGCCAATTAAAGTGAGCAGCCAATGATAACAAAATTCTTACTATGTTCATTTTTGCAACTGGAGCAAATGTTTCCTGATAATCCACCCCATAAGTTTGAGTGTATCCTTTGGCTACTAACCTTGTTTTATATCTTTCAAGGGATCCATCAGCCCTGTACTTCAATGTAAAAATCCATTTGCAATCAACAATGTTTTTTCCTTTTGGTTTATCAACGATCTCCCATGTTTTATTCTTTTCTAATGCATTCATCTCTTCTCTCATAGCATCCTTCCATTCCCTTTTTGACAATGCCTCAGACACATCGTGAGGGATGGCAATGGGGTTCAAACTCACAATGAATCCCTTTTGGGCTGACGATAGGCGCTTAAAAGAGACATAGTGAGATAGAGTGGTCGTTTAGTGCATTCTCTAGTTCATTTTCTAACAGCAATGGGAAGATTTAGAACAGTAGTTGAATCAGTGGACTGTTCAACAGATTGTGTGTGTAAAGATTGATTTGATCTTACTGTGATTTCATTCTCAGAATTTGGATTGGATTCTTGGACTTGTGTCAGTTTAGGAACGGTCTTTCTCCTTGAATACACCTTGGGAAACTTTGGAAAATTGTGAGTGATGCTGGTTGGAGAAGGAGATGATATGGGTTCAGTGATAGGATCGGGTGACTCAGATGTGACTCGTTTAGAGGACTCCGGGTCAACGGGAATATGAGGAGGGTTTGGTTTTGAGTGACTACGGGGTGGCACATGCGGAACGTCAAGGGTTTTAAGTGGTTCGGAGGACTCACAAGTACTATCTTCCATCATTGAAATTTCCCAACGAAGAGGACTTGAAAAAAAGGTCTATTTTCTGTGAAATTGACATCTGCAGAAATGTAAAATTTTTTGGTCAAGGGGTTGTAACATTTGTATCCCTTTTGAGTGGATGTGTAACCGAGAAAAACACATTTGATGGCTCTAGGGTCTAGCTTTCCTTTATGTTGTTTGTGGACATGAACAAAGGCGGTACACCCAAATACCCTATCAGTGAGGCCATTTGAGGTTCTGAAGTGAGGGTAGAAGCTATGAAGGGCCTCTAAGGGGCTTTTGTTTTCTAACACATGGGAGGGAAATCTATTTATCATGTGGCAGTAAGGACGGCTTCTCCTCAATAGGTCTTAGGAACATTCCTTTCAAACAATAAGGCTCGGGTGGTGTTGAGTAAATGCTTATTCTTTCTTTCAGCTACCCCATTTTGTTGGGGTGTGTCCACATATGAGGAATCATGGATAATCCCCTGTGATTGAAAAGTAAGGTGACAAAATCTGATTAAAATACTCTCTAGCATTGTCTGTCCTAAAGCTTTTTATTTTGACCCTAAATTGATTTTAAACCATTGAATGAAAATCAGGTATAACTGTGCTAACTTCAGATTTTTGTTTAAGAAGAAAGAATCATGTGACCCGAGTGCAATCATCAATTAAGGACACAAACCAACGAGCCCCAAAAACATTAGGTACAGTGGAAGGACCCATATGTCACTATGTATCAAATGAAAAGGATGAGAACTTTTTTATTGCTAATAGGAAAAGATGCACGGATATGTTTGGCCAATTCACAGATGTCACAATGAAACTCAGAAATATCTAATCCTTGGAATAAATGAGGAAACATTATTTTTAAAATCCTAAAAGAGGGATGGCCAAGACGTAGGTGATATAGCCAAATGGCATCTTTATTCGAGGAACTAAGGAAAGAAGAAGGCAATTTACTCTTAAGTTTTTAGGATGGTTCAAGGTGGTAAAGACCGTTCCTTTCCTTAGCAAGTCCAATCCTCCTCCCCAGTCCTGGTCCTGAAAAACACAATAAGAAGAGCAAAAAACAACATAAAATTTAAGACCATGAGTCAACTTTTGAATGGAAACAAGGGTTGTTGATAGTTTGGGCACATGGAGAACATTTTTAAGGATAAAGCTAGGTGTGATATGTATATCTCCAATCCCTGCAACAGTTGCTAAGGTGCCATTGGCCACAACAATTTTTCTATTACTTGGACATGGGGTATAGGTGTGGAAGAGTTGAGATGTGGGGGTCATATGGTCTGTAGCACTGGAGTCTATGATCCAAGAGTTTGGTATAGAATTTGTCTAAGACATTCATGCACACAAGTTTACCTGAAAGAGCCATTGAACATGTTCCAGAAGGCTTCTCAAGAGACCTCAACAAACTTCTTCATCTCTCAATTTCTTCACTGTTGAACTCCCCTATTGCTGGATTTTCCTAAATATTGGGCTGCTCTGTCATATGGGCTTGAGGCCTTTGCTGCTGCCCCCATGGTAGCCTTACTCTCGGCTTGTAGGTTTACCATTAAACCTATTGGATGCCCAGATATTTTGCAGTTCTCCAATTTTCTGAATAGAGTTTGATTCTTCGGAAGGGTTGGAATTGTTGGAGACGGTGGTTTCAGACATGACTTAGTGAAGAAGAAAAATTCACAGCTATTAAGGCCGGAACAAAACACAGCAATGAAGGTTGCTTGAAGAGACTACAAAACCCTAAAAAAATTCCTAGAGCTCTGATATCATGTCGGATGCAGAGTGACCGTCTCACCTAAAAGCTCGAACTAGTAGGGAAACACAGTCATTAATCATATATCCACAAACGAGAGTCCTCAACATGCTCCCTCAGGTGCAAATGGGGTCTGCGAAACTTGCACATTCATATGCCGCAAATGGGGGCGGACGGGGCTTGAACTCGAGACCTAGCCTAGGCTCTGATACTATGTCGGAAATCAGAGATGAGAGGAAAGAAAATTCTGTATTTCCACTATGATTTGAATTGATAATACAAATAGTTAAAAAAGAGATTACAAAGAGGAAAAAGGAAACAAACTAATTGATTCCCTCATTCAAGGGACTGACTAAATCCTTCAATTTAAAGGATTACAAATTAATTCTCTTAACATATTTGAATTACAAATTGATTCTCCTAATATATGTACATTATAACTCGGCTATTCTTTGACACTATTCACTTTCCTCACGTGTATGGCCGTCGTCCCAGACCCCCTCGGTTGTGTCCTGCACCAATCTCTTCTTGATTTGCACTTCCTGCTCCAATGGTCAAGTCTATTGATTCTTTATCAATACCCTTGACGATATTGAGGATTTTCCTCTTGTACAGATCTGGTTTGGTGTCATCGGAGAATTGGATGGTTTAACTTCGATCATTCCCGTTTCACTCTCAACGATAATATATTCTTTATTTGCTGACAAAAATGGGAAAGATCGGAGCTAAACCATCCAATTCTCCGATGGCACCAAACCAGATCTGTACAAAGAAAGGGATAACTTTTGGAGAGACTGAAAGATATCGAAAATTAGTAGGCAGACTAAACTATCTCATTGTAACCCGACTAGACATAGCATATCCTGTTAGTGTGGTAAGTTAGTTCATGAGTGCACCTACAGTCCAACATTGGGAGGCTTTGGAACAAAGTTTGGGGTATTTAAAGGGTACCCCAAAATAGGGGCTGTTATACAAGGACTACGGGCACGATCAGATTGAGTGTTTTTCTGATGCTTATTGGGCAGTTTCTAAAGTTGATAGTAGGTCAACCTTGGGATATTGTGTATTTGTGGGTGACAACTTGGTTTCATAGAAAAGCAAAGAGCAGAATGTGGTATCTATATCAAGTGTTGAATCTGAATATTGAGCAATGACGCATTGTGTCTGTGAGATTATTTGGATTCATCAGTTCTTGACAAAGTGGGGATTTCAAATCTCGACTTCAATTTGATTATGGTGTAATAATCAGAAAGCTCTTTACATAGCATCGAACCCTGTGTTTCACGAGCGGACTAACCATATTGAAGTTGATTGTCACTCTATTCAGGGAAAAGACCCAAAAAGGAGTGGTGGTCATAAGTCATGTCAAAACAGGAGACCAACTTGGAGATCTGCTTGCCAAAGCTTTACCTAGCCCTCGACTCAAACATCTTTGTGATAAGCTGGGCATTGTCAATATTTATGCTCCAGTTTGAGGGGGAGTGTTATATATTGTTAACTATATATATATATATTATGGGTCTAGCGCAATGTATCTATATATATTTGTAAATCTAATTGTATATCTAATTAACCATTATTAGAGAAAAGAGAAAAACGATTTCGTACAGTGTATCTCTATATGTAAAAATACAGTTTTTTTGACAGAGTTTCTCTCCTTTATTCATCTTTTTCTTCTGTTCAAAATCTGAGAGTTATCAAATTGATATTTTCATGCACAGTGAATTGCTGACCATACTTCCATGGCATAAGTTTATTCATTGTTTTCATCAAAGAGCTTATTGCTTGCTCCTGAAACTGTTATTAGTTAAGTTGAACTAACCTGCCATGCCAATTTTGTCTAGGCCAATATGCTTGAAGGGGGTGGACGAACACCAATACTCAGCCCTATTGAGCTGGCTGATGTTGGATACAAACTTGTGGCATACCCACTGTCATTACTGGGTGTATCCATTCGGGCAATGCAGGTACTCTTTTTAATTTATTTTTAAATCTCTTCTATCTCTTCCAAACAGTATGCCATTTTGCCATGATTATTGAGAGAATGATCATAAACCATCAGCGGTAGCTTTCAATCACTAAATTTGCACAGGGTTTATTCACAATGTTTTCTCTTCTCAGAATAGGGACTCAACATTATTCACAAATCCTGATTTGTGTCAGAATTGGTTGGAGCCTTATCTATTTAGTTCTTATGCATCTTTACTTTGATAAGTGGTCTTTCAAGCTGGCAAGATGATTTGATAGCTTTACGATGGAGACCAAGTTGAAAATTCAGAATAGTTCTTTCTTTAGTTTTTGTAGTGACTGATTGTGAAAATGATTAAAACCTACAAATAGGCTTTAGGCCACAGATGATATAATTCCTTGATGCAAGGCGATCACATTAAAACATTAACTATGCTCAAAATTTTTTGTTGACCTAGTTGGCTCTTTGGTTAATGTTTCTCTTCAATTATCCTGGAGTGAACTTGTTTTCCACAGACAATTTTATGCTTATTATTACTCTGGTTCACAGGATGCCTTATTAGCTATCAAAGGAGGTCGTGTACCTTCATCTGGAAGCATGCCATCATTCGAAGAGCTTAAGGAGATTTTGGGTTTTAATATCTATTATGAAGAAGAGAAGCAATATAGCACCAAGAATAGTGAAATTCATATAGACAGAGGTAAAAACATTGAACCACCTTGTTGGTTTATCTGCCTTTTCATTATCTGACCAGAAAACATGGCTGGAAAATCTAGTGTTGGTTGCTAGACACCACAAGTTTATAATATCTGCATGGGTATGAGAAGACAAAACTAACACTTCGTTTATAGAGTATGGTACCCAAAATGGCCCAAGACTTACAGATCAGAGTACACAAGCTCCAGCTGTTGAAGTAGTAACACCTGAAATATACAGCAACTATGTTGTGGATGATTCTAGTGGCCCTTTCTCTGGCATTTGGTCCCGAAAACTGAGAGTCAGAATAACAGGACAAGATGGATATGAAAGACTTGATGTTTGCATACCTGTAAGTAATATGTTTACTTCATACAACTGCAAAGCATTTGGCTTTTATATTTCCTACTATGTGAAAAGGCGAAAGAGGTGGGACTTTTGACTCTTATTAGCAAATCTCTTCAACTTATTTTAGATTTAAGTGCTAATTTTAAATCCTGGCAGCACCTAAACCCTAGTAAAAATAGGTCATTGAAGCTTTTATGTGTGCTCTTGTAATATTTTGTTCGTTTATATCCTCAATTTTTGTTTTCAATTTCAAACAAAGATTCATTAATGTTTTTCATATATTACATGTTTTAAAAATAAAAAAAAAATACTCTTTGACATCTTCATAACTTGATGAGCTACAAGTCAAGCTCAGCACCTTTATGGTCAATTGTTGCAAGTTTGGAATATGAGTTCCATAATTCCTCAACCAGCAGTTGCAATTCTGTTAAAACAAATAGTATTTTCTAAAATAATAGATTACAAAACTATATATAAATTTATAAACTTTGAAGGGGTAAAAGAAAAAGTAAGAAGAAGACTTATGGTTTAATCTTTAAAACTATCTTGGAGTCAACGTCCGTCTTTGCATTACAGCTGCATTTAAAGCAAAAATTCCACCACCTCTTTTATGAGCCACTAGCTACATTGTAATTTTCTCCACTTCTTCTTTCGAGGTACTCCGGTTCTTAATGCACTCATATGATTGGTATGCTACTTCAGGATCAAGCTCAATGTTTGGATTAGAATATAATAGAACTGAAAATTTAGAAAATGGTCAGCCACATGTAGAGGGTAGTGAAATGGGAATTCTATCATTTTATCAAATACCTCCTTATAATTCTTATCATTTTCTTTAAGCTCTTTCAATGGCTTCTTCAGCTCAAATTAGTACGCCGTATATATCATCTTATTTTCATTGTTCTCAAGTCTTGTGCATGCACAAGAGGCCTATAACCTTAAGATGATCGAACAAGACTTCATTTCAAAATCCTAGGCATCAATTTAATGTTAGTTGTCTGTCTGCCCTTAGTCTCTTTGGCCATCTTAGATTTGAATGCAAGAGTAAGTTCAAGCAATGTAATGTGAAGGGAATAGGGAGAATATTTATTTCATTCTAAAGAAAGAGAAAAAAGAATACTATATATACGTAGGTATTAATAGTTAATCTAACAAACTAAATCTAATATTTAATTATGATAATCTTAACTAAATCGTATATATATATCTAAATTATAGATATATATCTTAACACTCCCCCTGAAGCTAGAGCGTACAAGTCATAATCCAAGTTTGTTGTAGATGAACTCGGATTTTAGACCTCTTAGGGCTTTCGTTAATATGTTTGCAAAATGATCATCTAAGAGGTCATTTAAAGACACATATTTAGTATCTATGGATGGGACCTGCAACAGTTTGATGTTAAAATTGCATTCTTCCATGGGGATTTAGAGGAAGAGATTTTATGGAGGTTCCATCGGACTATGATAAGAACTTGGATCCTCACACCATTAGTAAATTGAAGAAGGCTCTATATGGACTTAAGCAATCTTCTCGGGCATGGTTTGGAAGATTGGTCTGTTGGGCAGGGCGTTGGAGATAGGCCCAGTTTAATCAGAGGGTTATGTTATAAATAGAGCCAAGGTGATCGATCATACATTGTTCATTAAACATTTTTCTTTAGGGGGATTCACAGCCCTACTTGTGCATGTTGATGACATAGTGATTATAGAGAATGATGATGAAAAGAAGAGATCAATGAGTCGGTGTTTAGCAAAAGAATTTGAGATCAAAACATTGTGATTGAGGTTGCTCATTCGAAACAAGAGATTTTTATCTCCCAGCAGAAATATGTTACATACTTCTTAATGAAACAGGCAAGACAACATGATGATGCTGTAGTAGACCGGGAGATGTACCAGCGAGTGATAGGGAGACTCTCCCACACACAATCGAATGTAGCATTTGCAGTAAGTGTGAACAGTCAATTTATGCACAACCCAAAAGAAGTTCATTCGCAAGCAACCCATAGAATACTACATTATCTTAAGCGAACAGGAAAATGTATTTTATTCAAATGGAGGTTTGATACTTGAAGCATACACTAATGCAAACTATGCTAGGTCTATAATTGATAGAAGGTCAACATTTGAATATTGCACCTTTCTTGGCATGGAGGAGTAAGAAAAAAAGTGTGGTAGCTCGATCAAGTGCAGAAGTAGAGTTTAGGGCAATGGCTCAAGGTGTTTGTGAGCTACTTTGGTTAAAGATTATTCTTGAAGACCTAAAAATTAAGTGGGAAAGGCATATAAAACTCTTATTGTAACAACGAGTCTGCAATCAGCATAGCTCACAATAAGGTGCAACATGACCGGACAAATCATATTGAGATTGACAGACATTTTATCAAAGAGAAGCTGAAAAGCGGATTAATTTGCACGCTTTATGTATCAATGACCGGTCAACTAGCAAATATTTTAACAAAATGATTGAATAGCTCACTGTTTCAAACTATTGTATACAAGCTAGGAATGGAAAATACCTATTCACCTAATTGATGGGGAGTGTGGGTAAATATGTTAATCAATTTATTTTAGGAAACAAATATCTTGTTTGCTTTGTACAACTAGATATTCCATGATTCATAGGATAAGATACAGGGTGATCCCATGATTCATGGAATAAGCTATAGGATAATTTCCTTTTATTTTACTAGGAATTTTTGTATGTAAGTCTTCCTATCCCTAAATGTAAAATGACACTGTTCTTTATATAGAATTAATTTTCCTCATTTGATTTTCTGTTCAAAATCTGAGAATTATCAACATAGACAATCAACTAAACACATCACTCTTTTAAAGTGTGCTTAAAGAATATAGTATGATCACACAAACATTGTGTCATGCCAAATTCTTGGATAACAAGCTTAAAACGTCCAAACTATGCCTGTGGAGATTGCTTTAGTTCATAGAATGAGCGACGAAGTCGACATACAAGTCTAAACTCCCCATGAGCAACAAAACCACGTGGTTGCTCCATATACATGTTTTCTTGAAGCTCACCATGGAAGACATTTTTAATGTTTAGTTGATGAAAAGGCTAACCACGCACAACCGCCATAGAAAGGAAAAAACGAACAAATGACATTTTACCAACATGAGAGAGTTTCTGTGTAGTCCTTATCATACACTTGAGTGAATCCCTTTACGACAAGCCGAGCTTTGAGACGATTAGTATGACCATTAGGGCCAATCTTGATTGCATATAATCCATCAACAAGCTACAAGTGTCTTTCCTGGTAGCAACGGAACCAATTCTCAAGTATTGTTAGGATGCAAATCTAATGTTTCCTCCACCATAGCCTAACACCACACTGAATGACCCAAAGCTTCACACCAAAAGCGTGGAACACAAACACAATCTAAGGCAGGCATAACACTACACATGGAAGAAGATAAATGGTGACAACTAAGAAAATGGTAAAGAATAGGACTACGAGTGGATCGAGTACCTCGACACAAGACAACAGGTGATGGTGGATCAACAACTAGGGTAGGCAACAGTATTGGAGTTGAGTCATCAATAGGCGTAGGTAATGGTAAGGGAGTTATGTTAAGACGTTGCCATATGTTGGTTGACTCCTGTAAAATATAAATAAATAAATGATGCGTATCCCTACAAGTTTAAGCTTTTAGGTGAAACGGTCATTTAAATTATCAATATGGTATCAGAGCTAGAAAGTCCTGTGCTCGAGTCCTACCACCCTCATTCATCGTTGTCATTTACATCATCTAACACCATGTAAGTCCACTAAAGTGGAGGGTTCGAAGGGAAAGTCACTAGAATGGGAGTCTCAAGTGTTGAGGACTCAGGTGATGAGGAAGATGACATTGTGAATTATGATGATGACTTAAATAATGTGACATCTGCACTCAAAACACGTTCAACCAAACACACATAGAAGTAAAGGATATATGGACATATTCGGTTGAAAAACATGTATTGAGAATCTTATGACCTAGAGTAGTAGATGGAAGTCTGTTAAATGAAATCTCTCCTATTTCTTAGTTTAGCATATGTTTTTTTTACCACTCTGTTGAGTTGTTGTTGGACTTGCACAAAATCAGCGAGTCTACACAATCTGCCGTCATTGGTGCAGAGAAGAGCATAATGGTAGGCTGACTATGGCGTGCATTTTGTCCCTTCCTACATGCGCTCAAAAGAAACAAAACACATGGTTGGGCATAGTCAAAAAGTAGTTTGAATTATCATGAAAATACCCCATGCCACTTTGATGCAAAAGGAATTAATTGTGTCAATATATGCAGTCAACTCTGAGGCTGCTTAATTAATCTGGCATGCAAAGTTGATGATAGTGTGGTTGAGAGATTATTCTATTTTATGGCAAGTCAGACAACTCTTTGACTACCGAAACCATGCGTTTTGTCTCGTTTGGATGCAGGTAGGATAAGACGAAATGCATACCATAGTCAACCAACCATCCTTCTTTCATATGCACCAATGACGACCGATTGTGCATACTTGTTGTTTTTGTGCAAGTCTGACAATAGCTCAGCAGAATGGTAAAAAAACATATACCTAAGTAGGAAATAAGAGATATTTTCATTTATCATTCTTCCCTTTTTTAGCATATGGTATAATTGGAATTTAAACACTTGCACACCCATCATCCAGGCATCAGTCCAAATGTGAGTAGAATTCAATCATAACATTTACAGGCCATAAATGAAGGTTGCGGGCAGCCTTTATAAAAGAAAGTATGGTTGTAGTCACTACGAACAAACAACCATCTATCATGCAAAATAACAACACGGAAACAACACTTAAACTTCAAAATATCATCAATGTGGCACCAAAACACTTTCAGGGAGCGGCGAACTCAATCAAAAATACCCCCCTTGGCAAGTTGAGAAGGAAATCTCCCCTTTCTCTCCTTCATTACTCCCTCTTCGTGGAAGCAGATGACAAAAAGGACAGGTCAAGAGGATGTTTCATCCTCACTCTCGACTGCAGTAAGGTTTTTGGGAATGAGATTGATGGCACAGACAAGTTTGTGATGGTCAGCCAAGGTGGACCTGATTTACAATTGTTCTTACATAACCTCACATATCAGGCGACGGGTTTCCAATAATTGGCCAGCTACGTCCATTGCTGCAATTTAAAGAACAAGTCCGATGAAAATGGCAACATTGCTCGAAATAAGGTAAGGTTGGTAGCTCAAGGCTACACTCAGATTGAAATGATCAACTATGATAAAACATTCGTTCCTATTGCTCGGATTGAGGCTATAAGATTGTTATCATCCATTTCATGTTCTCTTGTTTTTACTCTTTACCAAATGGACGTAAAAAAACTTTCCTTAATGGATGGATCAAGTAAGAAATTTATGTTGAACAACCGAAGGGATTTCAAGACCCTTTTGATCCTGATTATGTCTATCGTTTGAGAAAAGCGCTCGAGGAAAGGAGTATGTTTGTGGCTCGACTGATATAACGCTGCTTATCAAGCATAAAAGAAAAGAGCTGATGATAGCCCAAGTTTACGTGGATGATATTGTGATTTGATCTACAACTGAATCCTTGAGGAAGGAATTTGTAAAATTCATAGATGCCGAATTTTGGTCCACCACAACTCCTTCGAACACCTAAAATAGGGTCAACTCCTGAAATATGGTTATATCACAGTTATAACAACTTAGTGTCAATGATATAAAAAGGTAGACTTTCAAAGCAGTAAATGAGGCAAGGTGTTTGGTAACCCGATTTGGTTATAAGCCAACCTACATCCGGGGAATTTTAATCCAGGAGAAGTTCTACTATAATTAACATTGACTACTGAACTAAATAATCCCAACTCCTTCAACTCAATTTTCTACCATGGTCTACCTTATTAGGGTTTGAGTTCTTAGGGTTTAGCGCCACCGTAACGATAGAGGATCGCCGGTGTCGCTGCGATAGAGAATCATGGCCATTGAAACTCCTAATTTGGCCAAAACGTTAATTTATTAAAGTTACCGCCATTGTGACAGAGGATCGCCTGCGGGTTCCCACAACAGAGGATTGACGCCACTGGAAACTTTAATTTAGCCAAAATCCCAACTTTAGAGTTTAAGTGCCCCACAACGACCGAGAATCGAGTTGAATGTTGATGTCCAATTATGAAGTTTCTCCATATTCAAAGTCCACCTTTTGTCTTTTTTGCCAAATTCGAGTTAGCTTCTACATTACCAACTTGAGTTTGAGACATTTTAGATTGATATTTTTATTTGTTAGTATCTAATCATATCTAGATTAGGTTATTAGATTCATATATATATGTTAGATAGATAAGGTTCACATCTATACCTATATCTATTGCTTAGTTAGATTTAGTTAGTGAAGTAGTTTGCTCTTTTCATTCACGCAAAAATCTATATTTACATTATATAAAAAACCTATATAATGTATACTATTCAAAATACCTAAAAAACCCTTACAATTTTATAAATATGAAAATATATCTAACATTCCTCTCAAACTAGAGAATACAAATCGTACGATCCAATTTTGTCTCACAAAAATTAATTCGAGGGCCTCTAAGAAATTTAGTAAGAATATTTGAAAGTTAATTATTCGAAGCAACATGGTGAGTGGTGGTGCATCCAGCTAATACCTTATCCCGAATAAAATGACAATCAATTTCTATATGTTTATTCTTCTCATGACACACCGCATTAGACGTAATATGCAAAGCAGCTTGATTGTCACAAAATAGTTTCATTTCTGAAAGTTTCACTATCTTGAGTTCATGGAGAAGCTGTTTTATCCAAATAAGTTCACATGTCGCTAATTCCATATTTAAGTTCTATTTTTTTTTTTCTTTGGGAACAAAACTTGACTGCGATCGACTCAAATTGATAGAAAACTTGAGTTTAAGGCTCTGATACCATATGACACGGCCTGACCGCGTATAATTATGCCCATAATAATTTTCTTAGCCACAAAGTTCAATAGAGAACCAATGGTTCAGAATATAGGTGAAAGAAGGCAGAATAAAAAAGAAAGGATAATGCAGAGAATGTGAATTAACATGAATGACAACCAACTATTAGAATAAGTCTCGGACCTAAAATCAAAACCATAGTTAAAACACAAACAATAGGCTAAATCTCACTGCAAATGATTGGAAGCCATGAACCGATGAAATCACTCCAAAGACCCGATTTGAAAGACTGGAGGATAAAGAAAAGATAGTGCAGAGAATATGAATTTAATATGGATGATAACCAACCACAAGAATAAGTCTTGGACCTGAAATCAAACCATAGATTAAAACACAAACAATAGGCTAAATCCCATTCCAAATGATTGGAAGCCACGAACCAATTAAAACACACCAAAAATCCGATTTGACATATCTAGGTGGAAGGAAATCACATCCTATTACTAGACAAACATTGAGAGGGAAAAATAAAGAACTTTTATTCAAGATATAGAGGTCCTTGAGGAAAAAAAAAAAAAAGGACCACAAATAATAAAGGAAACAAACAAAAAGTAAGTCTAACTATAAGGAAACAAATAATAAGGAAAGTTCGAGATACTATATGGAAACTTATAATAAAAGGTAATATATTTACTTAAACCGTTTTACTATTCCAACTTTTTTTTCCCCCCAAAAACATCAAATCAAACACCTATTTTTTATTTATTATATTACACTAAAATTAAATTTTACATTCAAAACATCAAATCAATACATATTTATATCACATCAAACAACTATTTTAATTCAAAATTTTACTATTCAAAATCAAAACCAAAAACCATAATCTCACAAGTAAACACACCAAATTTGAGATTTTTTCATAATTATTTGTTGTCTTAGTCCTTTTGTAATCTTGGCCTCGGGATGAGTCGGCTTGGTGACCTTTGAGTCGGATATAAAAGAATTGTAATATCTAGCACATCCATCTTCAATAATCATTTTTCTGAGCTTGGACGGCCGCGTTAGTTCCGGTGAACTTTCGGCAATTATTTTTACGAGGTATTGCAATTTGCACTAATTTTAATGGCATAAGCCCAATGATATGCAATGGTAGATTGACCCTGAGGTAAGCAAGCGAGCTGCGATAATGGCGGCAAGCATAGTCGACGTTGGAGGGTGAGGGTGATGGCAGTGGGTAGAGGAAATGCGGTTTCGATCGAGTAGGTTCTTAACCCCAACTTTACTTGTTGGCTCCGATACAACATGAATTATATTTCCCATAAAACTTAAAAATACATTAAATACAACTTTTCTATATATATATATATATTATACGTACACAAAGAAATAAGCCTAATGGGCTTAACCCTAAATCAAGCTACAACAGCCATCTATCATATTTAACAATAATTATTACAAGCTAAAATATTATTATTGCATGTTGGTAAATATTTCATAGTTTATGGAGTATTGGCTAGATTAGCGTTTTATAATGTTGCCTATGCATGGACCACTTAGGGTGTGCTTGTTTGGGAGTTTGAGTAGTAAAAAATTTGAATTGAAAATTAGTTGTATGATATGATATAAATAAATATTGATGTGATGTTTTGAATATAAATTTGATTTTTAGTATAATATAAAAAATAAAAAGTAAATATTTGATTTGATGATTTTGGGGAAAAATTTTTTTCTAGGAATAGTGAAAATTCCTAATTCCTCAAAATCTTTGAAACAAACACACCTGTGTTTTATCTGAATGTTTATTTAGTTTGGTGCTGATTAAAGATGATTTATCTTTCATTATTCATATCTCAGGCTGGCTTTCTCGAAGGAGTAGCAAACATAGTTCCAGGTGCAGCGTGTGTGATGAGAAGTTTCTTCATGTTGTTAATTTGAAATTTTTGTTATAATATATCTAACATTTCTTGCATTACACTGGTTGACAGCATTAGGGGGCGTAAACCTGAAAGCTTTGCTAGATGATGCTGTTTTTGAAGAGGGAGGCCAGCAGTTGCTGGATTTCAATGATGCAAAAGGGGACAGAATTCAAGTGTTTCTCGAGTAAGTGCGAGGCATGAACTTCCACCTCTTGCATAATATTATTTTTATCATCAGCAAAGTGTAATCGCGATTTTGAAAGGGATTGTTTGAGGTTAATAATATCCCAGTTGGACAGAAGCTGAGAATCCATTTCCATGCTTTACTTTGGACATGGTGTTATACAATGTTATGCAGAATCTTCTTTCTGATCTTTATTGCATCAAATATAAATTCAGGGGTCATATGGCTGACTGCAGTATACCTGTTTTGTGCTTTGTGAAGCGGATCTGTCTAGGTTTCAATATAGTTGAATAGAGCTAATATATATTCTAGATATTATGTTGTTGAGTAATTATCTGTCATTGAGTTTGACCACAGCATGTTAGTCACATAACTATGCTAAATGCATGGATGAATTTGGCCTATGGTTTTCAAGTGTATTAATAAGTGCTACTATTGCATTGCCTTAGTGTCATCATCTGTAGGCGAAGAAAATTTGGTGACTTGACGATGGTATGGAGTGGCATATCGGTTTGAAGCCAATAAAACAAGCCTTTGGCTAAAGGTAAATAGCATGCAAACTACGCCACTGAAAAAATCACACTAACAAGTCCTGTGTGGTAGGTACCATTGTGTCATCCCTTATTAGCCTTCAAAATTTTGCTAGCATAAATCACCTGTTGTATTGATTTTCACAAAAGAATGTTGAATTTCTAAATTGAGCTTGATGAACAAATCGGCTTGGAGATGGATCCTCCCCTAGTTGAAAATTTAGCAATCATTAATGTGATCGCTTGCCTGTAATTTTCGATGAAAATCACTTAGGAATTATACGCATAAACAATAAATTTACCATTACTGGAGCCTTAAGCAATGAGTTTTGGTGTGTTTGAAGGCTTCAAGGCTACTCCATGTATAGGTAGCTAAGGTTCATCTTTACTACTTGAGAGGTCTCCAACTATAGTGTTTTCCCGCGGTTTTTTTATTTTATTTTATTTTATTTTATTTCTAAATTGCAAAAGATCCACATGTGACTTCACAAAATTTAGTCAAATTCTCATACTTCTAAAATTGTGCAAAACTCTCTTGTGATTTCATAAATTTTACGTCTAACATTCGGCAATTCGATATTTGATCTAAATGCTTTCAAAATGCGAATAAATTTTCGAATGTAGCCCAAAATTATAAATATATTTATTTTTTTTATATTTAGCTTGAAAAAACAGTAAAATATAAATTCTTAAAACCTAAGAAAAATAACTAGTTTTTATAGTATATTTACTATTTTTTAGTCTAAATATAAGAAAATGAATATTTTTGTAATTTTAGGTTATTAAAAATTGATATTACAGATTGGGTGCATTTAGATCAAATATCATTAATTAAGAATCGTCTAAGGGGTTAAGAGCAGAGTTTATGGAACCACGAGGGAATTTGACGCAAATAGTTCAATTTTGAAACCATGTGTGGGTTTTGTGCAATTTAGTATTTTTTTTTTAAAAAAAAACAAATATATATATTTAGAATTATATAATTATAATTATGATTTTATTTAATTATAAAATTAAATATAAAAATATTAAAGAATATATAATATTATAGGATGTGTATTTTATTATTAAATAATTAATTTAATAAAATAATATGCATCAAATATACATTAATTCGAAATTAATTAAAACATTGCATTAATAATAAAACAAACACAAAATACTACATAATAATATATATAAAAAAAAATACTAAATTGACTACATTAATAAATATACACTACAATGCATAGATTTTAAATTACTCTTTTTTTTTTTTTTAAATCCAATTATCTACTAATAATTTTTTTAACAATCCTTCCTTGAATGCTCTTCATTAGAGGTTAGTTGATGCTTCACAACTAATATTGTTACATTTATTTTTTTGCTTGAACTTTTTTTTTTTGCTTATTGTTTTAATAATAAAAAAGAAATTTCATAAGTCATTCCAAATATGGTATTAGCTCCTGTATCTTTAGTTTTTGTACTTGCCCAATACTCATCATAGTTGTAAATACTAAGGTTGTGTTCTTTGGTGGGTTCTAACCCCAATTTTTACTATATAAATTTTTCTCTCTCGCAAAAATATTAAATCAAACAATTATTTTTTTTAATATTATACTATAATTTTATTTTATATTCAAAATATTACGTCAGCATCTATTTATATCACATTAAAAAAAACTGTTCAAAATCAACTTTTTACTATTCATATATCCAAACCCACAAACCGTTTGTCATCACCATCACTGCATGATATTGTTGAATTAGAATTGGATTATTATCCTCCAACCTCATTAATTTTTGACTTTTTTGCACTACCACTAACATATTATGATGCTTCATTAGAAATTTTGGATCTTTCTTGTCATTTTTGTTTATTTTTTAACTTATGTCATGTATGTTCAAATACAAATGATCTATAACAATCATCACCAGTGGTGCAGCCAATAAAAGGGCCCAAGGGTGTTGTCCCTCCTAATTATTGTAGTTGTTTATTTTTATATGTAGTTTGTAAAAATTTTAAAATTTTAGTAATGGGTCATCCCTATTAATTAAAAAAAATATATTATTATTACAAATAGTTAATTCAAATTTCCCAAAAAGTTAGTTTAAATATTCTAAATATTTATATCTGAAAAAAAAAAAATAAGAAAAACAAACTGAAATGTCAGTGGTTTATAGTTTTTTTTTCTTTTAATTTTATTATATAATTTTAAAATTATATTATATTTAAAAAAAATTGGCTCTTGCCAAAAAGACTTTCTAGCTCCGGCACTAATCATCCGTGCATGTATTGTTTAGCATATTATTTTGAGATTGTCCATTTATTTTTTGTGGGTTAGTTTGTTCATATTAATCAATAAATTTCAATACTTCTTAATTAATTTTAAGCTAACAAGACTTACATTGAGATTGAACTTTTGAAATCCATTGATCTCATGTATTTTTTTATGTAATAGTCCACTATATATTTTAAAACAGCAGCAATTTTTTTTTCTTTAACCGTACCTACAATGACATTCTTGCTTGTGTTGATTCATCTATTGACGAGGAGAGCATTTTCCTCATGTTTTTATATTTTTCTTGTATCTCTAATTGAACTAATAAGTTGGACATCATCATCTTGTTCATCAAGATTTTGAATATAAACTTATGTGCTAAATTTGGAAATAGCTACAATTTTATTTATTTGGTTTGAACCAATTTTTCAAGTACATGAAGTATTTAGAGATTGGTTCAAATAATACAGTGGGCCACCAATTGGTCAAAAGTTCAAAATAGGACAAAAACTTGGATCAAATGAAAATGGTGGTTGTGGATAATAATATGAGCTTTAATATTAGGTTTAGGGAAGAAAAAAAAAAAAAAAAAAAAAAAACCTAGAACGATGAAATTTGAAAATTTTGTAGTTGGTTGGGATATTGCAAAATTTTAAAAGAATAAAAGAGTTTGAATGTTTAACGATAAATTGAGATATATGCTCAAAGAAAGAATAACTAGAGAAATATTGAATATATATGTAGCTCAATAGCCTATTTATATAGAATTTTTACTCACAAGACATTTGTGCTATCATTTATTGTTTAAAGAATCAATATACTCGTTTCTTTCCATCAATATCTAATGTATGCTATTGACTTAATGTACTAAAAAGAATTAATTATTTTTGAAAGTTTTATATGTTAATTTTTGTAATTAATACATAATGCATGTCATATTACTTTATCATACTAAAATACATTGATTCTCATATCACTTTATTGTACTAAATGATTGATTTTTTAAGCATTGTAGTATTACTTCATGCAAACCAATAATACATGGTTTGTGCTTTCAACTATTTTTGTTTATACGATTATCAATATATATAATATAATATATTTTTATCAATTTATAAAAATCAACATTTAATATAAAATAATATTTTTATATTATTTATATAATATCTAAGAGTAAGAAGAGACACCCGACAAGAGCAAATAGAGTATAAAGGATAGAAAATATTCGTCGTAAGATATATTGGAATTCCCCACGTTGTAGGAAATGTATTGGTCATCTATTATTTTATGTCATCAGTCCAACGACGCTTTCAGAATAATTTGGTGAGTACACTGGTGCTTTTAGAAAATTTTGATGAGTACAACACTTCTCAATATACGTCATTTACATTTAAAAGTAGTTAGCAAATATATTCCTTTGTACGAGTACATTCAATTAGTTCAGAGGTATATAAATTACTAATATGAAGGCACAAATATCATCACTGATGGTATATGGTTTGGTCTTAGGGGTATGTCGACACCTAATCACGGGTGTGTGAGTTACAAACCCTGGTATATATTAAGAAGTTTGGATCACATATCATGTATACAAAACGTATATCAAACCAAAATACAAGTACATATAAGCAAACTCTTAAAATAACATGCGTTAGATTAAACTGGTTTGTTTTGCTTACACAGTCTACGTCAAAATATAACATCAACGCTTGGTACCCTTGATTGGCCACAAATCTAAGCTATTCATCAATCCGACCATTACAATTCACACCCCAATCATTCAACAAGTACTAAACAGGTCCTCCGGGGCCCCCTGATAAAATGCGTGCAACAATTTTTGCCCTATAGGCCTTAACATCGTCGAATTCGGCTGCCCAGCCACCTAGTGGATAACGGTTGGTATCATTTAGAGCATAGCTCTTAGCATACATGCATACCATGGGGCCACAGTCGAGATTTTGATCTTGGCCTCGACTAAAAATGACCTCCAGAGTATCATCCGCCATTGGCCATAAATGAAATTCATTCAAGTACAGGTACATGAATTGAGTCTACATAAGAATAACTCAAGGTGAATTAATATATCAGGATAGATATAGGGCACATACTATAATTCTTACCAGACTTTTTGCGTTTCCTCTTGTGAAGGGAGATCTCTTTGAATTGCACTCTGTCATTTTACGTGAAGCCAAATCCAAAATGCACAAATACCAATGAAATTTTGTGTGGACCACTCTGTCATTTTACGTGAAGCCAATTCCAAAATGCACAAATGCCAATGAAATTTTGTGTGGACCAAAAAAAATACATACCGACAACCATCCCT